TTCTATCAAAGTAGAGCAAAGAGGGTAAATGATCTTTATGAAGAAGTCCAGATACTAAATATTTTGGACTTTGCAGGTCAGTTGCCTCTGTCCCAACCATGCAACTCTGCTGTTGTAGTTCACAAGCAGCTATAGGCATCTGTCAATGAATGAGCATGTCTGTGTTCCGATAAAATTTTATTTATGACACAACTCTGAATTTCCTATAATTCATGTGTCACAAAATATTATTATTATGGCGCCGGGCGCGGTGGCTCAAGCCTGTAATCCCAGCACTTTGGGAGGCCGAGGTGGGTGGATCACGAGGTCAAGAGATCAAGACCATCCTGGTCAACATGGTGAAACCCCGTCTCTACTAAAGATACAAAAAATTAGCTGGACATGGTGGCGCGTGCCTGTAATCCCAGCTACTCAGGAGGCTGAGGCAGGAGAATTGCCTGAATCCAGGAGGCGGAGGTTGCGGTGAGCGGAGATCGCGCCATTGCACTCCAGCCTGGGTAACAAGAGCGAAACTCCATCTCCAAAAAAAAAAAAAATAAAATAAAAACTGAATCCCGCCAAGAGAAACTCCGTCTCAAAAAAAAAAAATATATATATATATATTCTTCTTATGATTTCTTTTTTTAAAAGGTGAAAAAACATTCTTAAATCACATTCTGTACAAAAGCAGATAGGGAGCTGAGTTGGTCCATGAGCCATAGTTTGCTAACTCCCGAGTTAAAGGTTTTTAAAAAGGAATGTTTTGCCGGGCACGGTGGTGCTGCCTGTAGTCCCAGCTACTTACGAGGCTGAGGTGGGAGGAAGGATCGCTTGAGCCCAGGAGTTCTGGACTGTAGTGCGCTATGCGATCAGCCAGCGCTAAGTTTGTCATCAATATGGTGACCTCCTGGAAGTGGGGGACCATCAGGTTGCCTAAGGAGGGGTGAACAAGCTCAGATTGGAAACGGAGCAGGTCAAAACTCCAGTAATGATCAGTAGTAGGATCGCGCCTATGAATAGTCACTGCACTCCAGCCTGGGCAACATAGCAAGACCCTGTCTCAAAAAAAAAAAAAAAAAAGAATGTTCTTCCAAGGACCAGTGCTGTGGCTTTCTGTCTGGATGATTAGTAACATTTTGAGGTGACCGTAAGGAAATCTTATTTTGTTATAATGAAGGGATTTCTTACACATTTGAACAACTTTCGGTAGTTGTTCTCACAGTAGCTTGTATCAGAATCACCTGGAGGGCTTGTGAAAACAGATTGCAAGGCTCCCTCCCCAGGTTTCACATTCGGTAGATCTATGCAGCTGCTCAAGAATGTGCATTTACGGCTGGTTGCAGTGGCTCAGGCCTGTAATCCCAGCATTTTGAGAGGCCGAGGTGGGTGGATCACTTGAGGCCAGGAGTTTGAGACCACCCTGGCCAACATGGTGAAACCCTATTGCTACCAAACATACAAAAATTAGTTGGGTGTGTTGGTGCACACCCGTAATCCCAGCTACTAAGGAGACTGAGGCACAAGAATAGCTTGAACCCCAGGAGGCAGAGGTTGCAGTGAACCAAGATTGTGCCACTGTACTCCAGCCTGGGTGACAGAGCAAGACCATGTCACACACACACACACACACACACACATACACACAAAACAAACAATGCCTTTCTTAAAGGTGAGTCTGATGCTGCTGTCTCGGGACCACACTTTGAGAACTGCTGATTTAGAGAAATGAGAGCATACAATAGTATGGAAATAACACAGTTGCTTCTTTCAATCAATGTCCTTAGAGTAACTATTGACTTTTCTACATTGTTTGAGACCTTTGAAATTCGAATGGTTCAAAGACTAAAGATAACTGGAACCAAATTCATAACTTCCCCATCTATTGTAGTTTTTTTTCCTCCATTGCTTTCTGTTTTTAAACACTTGAAAATGAGAGACTGATTTATAACAATGTTAGAGAATGACATGCGTCAAGTAGAAATATAAATTAAGGAATATATATATTAGATAGTCATGTATCCGTTTGAAAGATAGCCTGTTGCCAGTAATTGGCATTGCATGTTCCTCCCCCATCACGTCATCCTTTGCTTTGCTTTTACTATGTGTGTTTGTATCTACAACAATCTCATGTCTAGTTTTGCACACACATGAACTTTATAAAAATATTTTTTCTTTGTAATTCACAATGAAGTTCTCAAAACATAGTTTTACTATACACACACGCACATCCATTTTGATGAATGTAACTGGTTCATTTTCACTGCTGTATTTATTTTATAAGTATACTACAATTCATCAGTTCCCCTGATGGTGGACATTTGGATTGTTACCAGTATATATATATATATATATATATATATATATATATATATATATACAGAGAGAGAGAGAGAGAGAGAGAGAGACAGAATCTCGCTCTATCACTGAGGCTGGAGTGCAGTGGTACAATCTTGGCTCATTGCAACCTCCACCTCCTGGGTTCAAGCGATTCTCTTGCTGCAGCCTTCTGAGCAGCTGGGAGTACAGGCACCCACCACTACACCCGGCTAATTTTTTGTGTTTTTCGTAGAGACAGGGTTTCACCACGTTGGCCAGGCTGGTTTCAAAGCTCCTGACCTCAAGTAATCTGCCAGTCTCGGCCTCCCAAAGTGCTGGGATTACAGGTGTGAGCCACTGTAGCTGGCCATAGAATTGTTACCAGCATTAAAAAAAAAATCTGTAAACAATATAGCCACGGATAGTCTTGTCTTCTATTCGTGTTTTCTAGTGAATGAGCACAGCAGTATTTCTACAGCAGAGACCTAAGGAGGGGAGTGGTCTCTCATTATGGGATATGCACAGCTTCAACTTTGTTATGTAACCATCAATTGTTTCCCAAAGTAAGGCTATATCCACATCTTCACCCACACTTCGTATCACTAGACTTCAATTTTTGCCAATTCGATAGGTTTAAGATGATATTGTGCCTTTATTAATAATTTGCATTTCTTAATTACTAATATGGTTGGTAACTTTTCTTTTATTTGAGGACCTTTCATGTCTCTTCTTTGAAATGACTTTTTTAAATGCCTGTTTTCTCTTAGTTTATATTCATCCAGTTAATTCAGAGAATTTCCTTATGTTCTGGTTACTAATCTTTTGACATTTAAATGTTTTAGAGATATCTCTTTCCATCCATGGCTTGCCTTGTGTTTTTGCCTTTTTATTTATTTTTTTTTTGGGGAGGGGGGTAGGTGAATGTTTTACACTTTCTTGTAGCTTAATTTATAAATTACTCTCCCTATAATTTGTGGGGATTTTTTCCTGTGTATGTCTTAAGAAATTCTTGCCGGGTGCGGTGGCTCAAGCCTGTAATCCCAGCACTTTGGGAGGCCGAGGCGGGTGGATCACGAGGTCGAGAGACCGAGACCATCCTGGTCAACATGGTGAAACCCCGTCTCTACTAAAAATACAAAAAAATAGCTGGGCATGGTGGCACGTGCCTGTAATCCCAGCTACTCGTGATCCACCCGCCTCGGCCTCCCAAAGTGCTGGGATTACAGGCTTGAGCCACCGCGCCCGGCCCCTGCATAAATTTTAAAGTGAGTTTAACCTGTATAGGAAAAAAATACTTTGGGGACTTTTGCTCGGAAATGTATTAACAGATTAATTTGGCAAGAAATTACAGCTGTACAGTATTAAGCATTCCTAATCATGAATATGCAATGTCTTTCCAACAAGTCTTCCTGGATGCCATTCAGTAAAGTTGTTTAAATTTTTGCATTAAAAGATGGTGTATTTATTTTGTTAGATTTATTATTAAGCATATTCTATTTTGCTGTTGTTTTCAGAGTTACATTTGAAAACTGTTTCTGGCTGGTGTAGAGAATGCAGCTGATTTATGTTTGCTGACCTTAAATTAAGAAACCTTGTTTAATTCTCACGGTTTTATTTGTTTGTTTGTTTTTGTTTTTGTTTTTTTTTTTGAGACAGAGTCTCGCTCTGTCACCAGGCACTGGGCTGGAGTGCAGTAGCGTGATCTCGGCTCACTGCAACCTCCGCCACCTGGGTTCAAGTAATTCTCCTGCCTCAGCCTCCAGAGTAGCTGAAACTACAGACGCCCACCACCATGCCCAGCTAATTTTTGTATTTTTAGTAGAGATGGGGTTTCACCATGTTGACCAGGATGATCTCGATCTCTTATCCTTGTGATCCACCCGCCTCGGCCTCCCAAAGTGCTGGGGTTACAGGCGTGAGCCACTGCGCCCGGTAATTCTCAGGGTTTTAAATAATTTGTGTAGTCTTTTGGGCTTTCTTTTTTTGTTGTTTGTTTGTTTGTTTGTTTGAGACGGAGTTTCGCTCTTGTTACCCAGGCTGGAGTGCAATGGCACGATCTTGGCTCACCACAACCTCTGCTTCCTGGGTTTAGGCAATTCTCCTGCCTCAGCCTCCTGAGTAGCTGGGATTACAGGCACACGCCAGCATGCCCAGCTAATTTTTGTATTTTTAGTAGAGACGGGGTTTCACCATGTTGACCAGGATGGTCTCGATCTCTTGATCCACCCGCCTCGGCCTCCCTAAGTGCTGGGATTACAGGCGTGAGCACCCGGCTGTCTTTTGGGCTTTCTACATAGACTTTCTTCATCTTTTGCAAATAATTATAGTTTTCTGTCTTCTCCATCCATAAAACTTTTATTCTGTTTCTTACTGAGTTGACTGGCTGCAACTTCCAGTGCAATGTGGAACATAAGTGGTATCTCATTTCTTTTTTTGTTTGAGATGGGGTCTCACTTTGTCAGTTAGGCTGGAGTGCAGTGGCACTGTCTCAGCTTACTGCACCCTCCGCCTTCCAGGCTCAGGTGATCCTCCTCCCTCAGCTTCCTCTGAATAGCTGGGACTACAGGCGCATGCCATCAGCTTGACTAATTGTTGGTACATGACTTTTATCAGATTAATGAAACTTCCTTTTACATACATATATGTATTTTTCTAAGAGTTTTTTCTTTTTAAATAAAAAGAGGGTTTAAAATTTATGTATTTATTTTTATATGGAGTGCTTCACGAATTTGCACATCATCCTTGCACAGGAGCCAGGCTGATCTTCTCTGTACCGTTCCAATTTTAGTATATGTACTGCTGAAGCGAGCGCGGGTTTTAAATGTATTAAGGGAATTTTTGAGTGTATTGAGGTAATCGTGTGTGTACTTTAATTTTTTAATTTTTGAAACTTTTGTGATGCTGCTAAAAATTTTATTTAAAAAATTTATTTTATTTTTAATTTTTGTGGGCACATAAGTGTATACATTTATGGGGGACATGAGATATTTTGATACAAGCATGCAATGTGTAATGATCGTATCATGGGAAATGGGGTATCCATTTTCTTAAGCTTTTCTTTTTCTTTGTGTAACAAATAATCTAATTATACTCTTTTAGTTATTTTTGAATGTACAATTAAACTATTGACTATAGTCACCTTGTTGTGCTATCAAATACTAGGTCTTATTCATTCTTTCTATTTTCTTTTTGCACCCATTAACCATCCTTACTTCCCAAGCCCATGCTTCCCCACTACCCTTCTTACCCTCTGGTAACCTTCTTTTACTCTCCATCTCCATGAATTTAATTATTTTGATTTTTAGATTCCACACATCAGCAAGAACATACAATGTTTGTCTTTCTGTGCATGGCTTATTTCACTTAACATTAGTGACCTCCAGTTCCATCCATGTTGTTGCAAATGACAGAATCTCATTATTTTTTATGGCTAAATAAGTACTGCATTGTGTATAAATATCACATTTTCTTTATCCATTCATCTGTTGATGGTCACTAAGTTTGCTTCCAAATCTTGGCTACTGTGAATAGTGTTGCCTGCTGTAAATAGTTAATATAGGAGTGTTGGCTACTGTGAATAGTTAATATGGGAGTGTTGGCTACTGTGAACAGTTAATATGGGAGTGTTGGCTACTGTGAATAGTTAATACGGGAGTGTTGGCTACTGTGAATAGTTAAGACGGGAGTGTTGGCTACTGTGAATAGTTAATGTGGGAGTGCAGGATCTCTTTAATAAACTGATTTTCTTTTTAGGGGGTATATATGCAGTAGTGGCACTGATGGATCATATCTTAGCTCCATTTTTAGTTTTTTGAGGAGATTCCAAACTATTCTTTATAGTGGTTATACTAATTTACAGTCCCAACCAACAGTTTACAAAGGTTCCCTTTCCTTCACATCCTCACCAGCGTTTGTTATTACCTGTCTCAATAGGATGAAAGCCATTTTAACTGGAGTGAGATGATTATCTCATTGCAGTTTTGGTTTGTATTTCTCTGATGCTCAGTGATGTTGAGCACCTTTTCATGTGTCTGTTGCCATTTGTATGTCTTTACTTTTTTATTTTTCTGAGACCAAGTCTCGCTCTGTCACGCAGGCTGGAGTGCAGTAGTGCAATCTCAGCTCACTGCCACCTCCACCTCCCAGGTTCAGGCAATTCTCCTGCCTCAGCCTCCTGAGTAGCTGGGATTATGGGTGCCCGACGCCACACATGGCTAATTTTTTTTATTTTTAACAGAGGTGGAGTTTCACCAAGTTGGTCAGGCTGGTCTCAAATTCCTGACCTCGTGATCCGCCTGCGTCAGCCTCCTAAAGTGCTGGGATTACAGGTGTGAGACACTGCGCTCCGCCTGTCTTTACTTTTTAAAAAATTGTTGGCTGAGTGCAACAGCTCATGCCTGTAGTCCCAGGAGGATTGCTTGAGCCCAGGAAATCAAATCCAGCCTGGGCAACACAGTGAGACTCCATCTCCATAAAAAGGAAGGAAGGAAGGAAAGAAGGGAGGGAGGATAGCTAGTGCAGTGAAGCACACCTGTAGTCCCAGCTTCTCAAGAGGCTAATGTGGGAAGATTGCTTGGGCCTGGGAGGTTGAGGCTTCAGTAAACCACGATCATGTCACCTCTCTCCAGTTGGGAGGACAGAGCATGACCCTGTCTCAGAAAAAAAAAAAAAAAAAAAAAAATTGTTAATATACTAAACTAGATTTTTTTTTTTTTTTTTGAGATGGAGTCTCGATCTGTCACCCAGGCTAGAGGATAACTGGCTTAATCTCGGCTCACTGCAGCCTCCTCCTCCAGAGTTCAAACGATTTCTGTCTCAGCTTCCAGAGTAGTCGGGACTACAGGTGCAGGCCACCATTCCTGAGTAATTTTTGTATTTTTAGTAGAGATGACGTTTCCCCATGTTGGCCAGGCTGGTTTTGAACTCCTGACCTCAGGTGACCCACCCAGACCTCAGCCTCTCAAAGTGATGGGATTACAGGTGTGAGCCATGGCCTGTACTAGATAGATTCTTTAAAATGTTAAACTAGGCCGGGTGCAGTGGCTCATGCCTGTAATCCCAGGACTTTGGGAGGACAAAGCGGGCAGATCATGTGAAGTCAGTAGTTCGAGACTAGCCTGGCCAACATGGGGAAACCCCATCTCTACTGAAAATACAAAATAAAAAAATTTTGCTGGGTGTGGTGGTGCGTGCCTGTAATCCCAGCTACCCGGGAGGCTGAGACTGGAGAATCGCTTCAATCTGGGAGGTGGAGGTTGCAGTGGGCCGAGATGGCGCCACTGCACTCCAGCCTGGGTGACAGAGTGAGACAACGTCTTTATTTTATTTATTTATTTATTTTGAGATAAGAGTCCTGCTCCGTTGCCAGGCACCAGGCTGGAGTGCAGTGGCGTGATCCCGGCTCACTACAACCTCTGCCTCCCGGGTTCAAGCAATTCTCCTGCCTCAGCCTCCTGAGTAGCTGAGACTACAGACGCCCACCACCATGCCCAGCTAATTTTTGTATTTTTAGTAGAGACGGGATTTCACCATGTTGGCCAGGATGGTCTCGATCTCTTGACCTCGTGATCCACCCACCTCGGCCTCCCAAAGTGCTGGGATTACAGGTGTGAGGCACTGCGCCCAGCGAGACAATGTCTTTAAAAAAAAGGTTCAACTAGGTTTATTTTCCTTGTTATACATTCTAAGCCATAATTAATATATATTATTGATATAACTTGATATATATTCTAACCCATGGCTTACCGCTTCACAAATCCGCCTCCTGTGTTGTGAATATCCAGCCATGTGATTTTTACGTATCTCCCCTCACTCCTTCAGTTGCGGCCTTCAACTAAAATAGTCATCTAATCTCATGTCGCCACCTGGTGGCAAAACTTGGAAATTTAGGACGTCTCTACCTTTCTTTCCTGTTAGGGAGACTCATACATGCAGTTTTCTCCTTCAGTTCTATTCTCGCTCTTGTGCCTCTCATCCATTAATTTTACTCCCCCATCCTCCTTTCTCATGCTCGCCTAAATTTTCTTATTATGTTCATGAAAATCATTCTCTTCCTTTCTTCTCTCTTTGCTCCTTTATGAGTCTAAATCTACCTCAACCACAGCGAGAATAGTACTACTAGTGACTGGGAAAACTACAGCTCTACATTTTGAAATGACATTTCCTACAATAAAGTGCCAGCTAGACTACCTTCAGAGTCCCTGAAAATACTTAAAATTCCCTTTAAAATTTCTTAAATTTCAAGTACTATCTAATTATTTCTGCCCAGGTTAACATCAAGCTCAAGTATTAAAGAAAAATTATAAAACTGTTAGTAAATGTCATTGTTTCTGTGTTCCTTTATTACAACCTTTGACAAATTTGGAGTCTCTACTGTATTTCACTGCAAAGACTCAGTTTTTCTTTTTTTCTTTTTTTTTTTTTTTTTGAGATGGAGTTTCGCTCTTGTTGCCCAGGCTGGAGTGCAATGGCGCGATCTCGGCTCACTGCAACCTCCGCCTCCTGGCCTCAGGCAATTCTCCTGCCTCAGCCTCCTGAGTAGCTGGGATTACAGGCGCGCCACCATGCCCAGCTAGTTTTTTTTTTTTTGTATTTTTAGTAGAGACGGGGTTTCACCATGTTGACCAGAATGCTCTCGATCTCTCGACCTCGTGATCCACCCGCCTCGGCCTCCCAAAGTGCTGGGATTACAGGCTTGAGCCACCGCGCCCGGCCCTCAGTTTTTCATTATAGGTTAAACTGCCTAGAAACAGAACCACCGTCCGTGACACAGTCTCCATGGAAAACAAACGGCCGCAGCTGCCCTTTTGGCACATAACCCATTCATAAGATGGAGACTTCGAGTAACTGCATTTGTAACTGTTTCACCCAAAAGGTTAAAAAATACTGTAGCCAGTATTCTCCCCAGTCAGGGAACTGACTCACAGCTAAACTTGGCCAGTTTAGCAGTTTCTTTGTTGAGTTAATTCTGACTTTGTTTTCGGTATTGCTAAGGGGTATTTTGGAGAATGGCAGGTGAGTCAGCTGAGGAAGACAGACCAGAGAAAGTGGGCCGAAATTGACCTCTTTAATTCCTGCAATGCCAACATATCTGCAGAGGAGGTAGTTTTCATGGTTGGTTTGTCTTAACCTAGCCAGTCTTTTTTTTTTTTTCGAGACAGAGTTGCCCAGCGACAGAGTCACTCTGTTGCCCAGGCTGGAGTACAGTGGCGTGGTCTTGGCTCACTGCAACCTCCATCTCCCGGGTTCAAGCAATTCTGCCTCAGCCTCCTGAGTAGCTGAGATTACAGGCATGCGCCACGATGCCCAGCTCATATTTGTATTTTTAGTAGAGACAGGGTTTCACCATGTTTGTCAGGCTGGTCTCGAACTCCTGACCTTGTGATCCGCCCACCTTGGCCTCCCAAAGTGCTGGGATTACACGCATGAGCCACTGTGCCCAGCCCCCTATCCAGTGTTTTAGTAGGTAGATACTGAGAATTTGCTTATTCAAAAACATAGCTACTGTAGATTTAAAGAGTAGGCACTAAAAAGTATTTTGGATCCATTAGTCTGGTTACTACCTAAAAGTAACTTAATGCCTAACTTAATCAGCAGATAATGTCAAATAAAATATGAAATCTGGTGGAACATATTACTTTGACATGAAGTTCTGATGTTTATAGCTTTAAGACAAGACCTATTATTCTAAATAAGAGATCTTATTACTGAAAGAAACTAGTTAGCTTGTGTAGAGTTGTTACACTATTAGAAGTCTAGCATCTATTTAAAAGGAAGATTTAAAGTTATTCTTATTTCCACATTCTAACAGTG